CACTCCAGTCTGGGCGATAGAGTGAGACTCCAACTCAAAAAAAATAAAAAATAAAAAAAATAAAAATGAATCCTACTTTCTCAAAAAAAAAAAATTTTTTTTTTTCTTTTTGAGTTGGGGTCTTACTCTGCCGCCCAGGCGGAAATGCAGTGGCACTATCATGGCTCACTGCAGCCTCAACCTGGGCTCAGACGATCCTTTTGTCTCAACATCCTAGGAATTGAGATTGTAGGCTTACGCCACCATACCCAGCTTATGTTTTGTAGAGACCAGGTCTCGTGTGTTTCCCAGGCTGCTCTCGAACTTCTGGGCTCATGCAATCCCTATGCCCTGGTCTCCCAAAGTGCTAGGATTATAGTCATGAGCCACCAAGCCCACCCCTAAATTTCTTTTTAATAGTGATCTTTAAGTATACTATCTTAGATGCTAAATCCTGTTTACTAAAACAATTTATACATGTATTACCTGGTAATAGAGTTAAAACTGATAACATGAAAAGGAAAAATAACGTAGAGAAAAAGAGAGTAAATTGTAGTGGAACAAATAGTCACAGTGGAGTCAGGATATTTAGCTATAAACCTGTGTCAAACCAGTCATTTATTCTTATGAAGCTTCTGTAAAGAATCTATATTTTCCTTATATATAAGTTTAAATGATTGCTAAGATCCTTTACAGCTCTAGTTTATTATGATTTTATCTAAGACTAAAGTGGAAAAGGTCATATATATGTTTTGATTTAAACAGTTGAATTTGCCTAATTTCTTTTCCAAGGCTGGAAAAATAATAAGAAATTGGAAAAGCTATAGAAGTAAACACTGAACAAAATGGAGGCATATATCTTACTAACATTTTTTTGAGGGACATATTTTGCCTATGTTTGGCCCACAGTACATATGCCCTTTGGCCTTTCTCAAATGAGTGCATTTGTCTGTTGCAGGTAGACATAGTAATTCACATACTCTCCCAAGAAACAGTAGCCTCATCTTCACTAGAACAGTGGCTGTGAAAGTTGATTGATTTTAGTGAAGGTGGCAAAGCAGATAGGAATGGAACTAAGTGTCTTTCTGGTGACACCTGTGGGCATACTTGGCTACAAACCAAGTGTCCCAGAATTTACTTTGAATAGTTGTTGAATAAAATCTTACTTGAAAGCATTTTCTTTAATCATATTTTTCAATTGCAGCATAGTTTTTATGATGTTAGTCTTGCAAAGAATGTTTCTGCACAAGAGCTTTGGTACTAATATTGTATAGGAATAGAAACTAGTCCTTAAAGTGAACTCTCGTGGTGAAGTTGGAGAATACTGATGCAGGCTTTTCATGTAAAATAAGAATAATAGAATAAATGTCTTAGTTTTTGAGGAATTGATTATCTTTTAAGTTGGTTGTTACTGTCATTAAAAAGTAAATGGACAAAGTATAAATTTAATTTTTTTAATTAGTAGGTATGAATTTAGATAGTATGAACGGTTCTGATTATAACAGAGTTTAATTGCCTAATTATATTGTTAAGTTCTTCTCGTTTCAGTCAAACTCAGCGAACTTCCCATGTATTTTATCGCCATGACTTAATCAATCAACTTCAGCACAATCATGCCCTAGTTACTTTGGTAGCAGAAAACCTTGCAACTTACATGGAAAGCATGAGACTGTATGCTAAAGGTATGTATTGTAAGCTAAAATGAACTATGGGAAATAACAGTGACTTTTTTTGCATTAATTGCCTCAAAATGACAAATTTATTTTAAAAGATGCAAGGTAATTGCTTTTGTAAATTGTGTTCTTTATGGGTTTATAATCCACTTTTAGTCCCAAATCGTAAACAACATAAACTCCAGGTCAGCATTTTGAGTCTCTCACGAAGTACTTGCTTTCTCCACTTTCCTTGTTAAATTGCTTTATTTTTCTTCCCTGCCTGGGGATCTCTGCCTGCCTGTACTATAATTGATTGTTACTTTCTTGAGTGCGTGCTTGATTCATTTTCAACCTTTATTTCCTTTACCCCACCACTTTAAGCTTTTCAAGAAAACTTGTTTTGTCTGAGTCTGTTCTTACATATATTTCTCTTATGATCTTAGGGTCCCTGTTTTATAAATGCTTCAGACTTTATGAATAAAAATTCACAAGAGTAGGGACAAGAGGCTACAAGAATGCAGATGTTGACATTGGCTTTTAAAGTGTGAAGTTGTTAGAACATGTTGGGACAAAGTTTTCTGTGATTTTTAAGTGACTGATTTTAAGTGCCTGTCGTATGTGGAGCCCTTTGTCAATGCTCTTTTGTCCTGTGACAGTTGTTTCAGAGTGTGTATGTGCTAGATTATAGATGCTTTCTTAGTACATATTCCTCCTCTGTCTTAAGTTAGATTCATAGTCCAGATAAAGAAAAATAGACTCCTTGAAGGCTCACGTTTGTTCTCAGAGCCATAAAAATGCTGTATTACCAGTGTTTAGAGATCTATTTGTACGTACTGGTTACTCAACATACCATTCATTTAACACATTATAGTAGAATCTGCAGAAGCTAATAGTGTGTGTTAAAAATAAGGATGTTTGCAACACTAATGTTTTCAGAGTTTTGCCTAATACGTAACATACTTTCCCAAATAAAATTTAGATAAACATAAAAATGAAGCAACTCCTCAGATACCCCTATTGATTCATTAATTCTTTGTTCTTCCATTTATCCTATCTGGGCCAGGTGAGTCCTTTTAAGCTAGAGATAGTAAAGCTAGAGAATCAGTCTAAGTATCAGTAGAGAGCACTTTAAAAAAAGCCATATAGGATTTCTGCACTCAAAGTATAATAAACGTATGGCATATTCACTAGAAGGTCTCAACAGTAGCTTTGAACTGGCAGAAGAAAGAATCAGTGAACTTAAAGGTAGGTCAGTAAGAGACTATGCCCTCTGAAGAACAGAAGAAAGGATAAAGAAAAATTCACAAAATGTCAGGGAAATATGAGATACCATGAAGTGTAGCAACATACATGTAATGGGAATACCAGAAGAATGAGAGTGAGAGAAAAAATGGGAAAAGATATAGTCACTGTGAACTTATGAAATTTGATAAAAGACATTCATCTATACATCTAATAAGCTGAAAGAATTCCAGAAAGGATATATGCAAAAACTTAGACTTGGACATTATCGTTAAAGAGAAAATCCTGATGGTAGGAAGAAAAAAAAATAACTCCTTGTGTACAAGGAAACCTTAGTAAAAATTGTCAGCTGACTTACATGAAACATTGGGGGCCAGAAGGCAATAGGACAGCATATTCAAAGACTAGGGTTGCAGAATTGATCCAAAAGCCAGGAATCTTGCATTCAGCAAAAATATCTTTTAAAACTAAAGGCAAAAAATGAAGAAGACATTCAAGAGAATTCATTGCTGGCAGATTTGCCTTACAAGAAATCCTTTATAAAGGAACTAATTAAATTAGGTTAAAGACAAGTGATATCAGACAGTGATTTGAATCTGCATGGAAAAAAAGAAATGGAAAGCTTGAAAACTATAAACCAATTAGACCTAACAGACATCTATAGAGCATTCCACCTAACAATAGTAGAAACTACCAAAACTATGTGAGCATCTCATAGATACAGAGAAAGCATTTGTCAAAATTTAACACCTTTTTAATACAAAAATACTCAACTAGGACTAGAAGAAAATTTCCTCAACCTGATCAAGAACATCTTAAAAAAAACCCGTAGCTAACATCGTATTACCTAATGGTAAAAGACTTTACCCCTAGAATCAGGAACGAGACAAGGACGTTCACACTAATCACTTCTATTTAACATACTACTCGAGGCCAAAATATTCTTGTACTCGAGGTTCTAGCCAGGGTAACTAGTCAAGAAAAAGAAGTAAAGGCATCCAGGTCGGAAAGAAAGAACTAAAGCTGTATTCCCAGATAACACCATTTTGAATACAGAAAATCTAAGGGATCCACTAAAATATTATTAAGGAGTTCAGCTAGATTGCAGGACACAAAATTAATATACAAAAATTGTATTTCTATACACTATGAACAGTTTGATAATTTAATAGTTCATTTACAGTAACATCAAAAAGCATAAGATACTTAGGAATAAACAGAACAAAAGCATAAAACTTGTACGCTGAAAACTATAAAACATTGAAAGAAATTTAAGATATAAACATGAAAAGACATCCTACATTCATGGGGTGCCACACTTAAGTTGACAGTACTCCCAAAATTGATCTGCAGATTCAATACAAGCCTGTAAAAAATCCCAGCTTTTTTTTTCCTGCAGAAATTGACAAAGTTGATCTTGAAATTCATATGGAAATGCAAGGGATTCAAATAGCCAAAATATTCTTGATAAAAACTAAAGTTAGTAGACCTAAACTTCCTAATTTCAAAGCCTACTACAAAGCAACAATGATCACGACCATGTGGTGCTGGTGTAAAAACAGATGTATGTATCAATATATTTATAGTCCAGAAATCCTTAAATTTATGATCAATTAATTTTTTACAAGAATACCAAGAACATACAGTGGGAAATTGAATTTTTTTCCCATAAATATTGCTGGAATAACTGGATATCCACATCTGAAATAATGTATTTGGATCCCCTACTTCACATTATATGTAAAAAGTAATTCAAAATGCATTCTAGACCTGAAAGTAACAGTTAAAAGTATAAAACTCTTAGAAGAAAACATAGAAATAGATGTTTGTGACCTTGAGAAAGCAAAATGGTTAGGCCAAAAAAATGGGAAGGGGGGATGGTGGATCGGACTATATGAAAAAAATTTTTTTAAATTTTTATTTGGAATCTCACTCATTTTGTTGCCCTGGCTGGAGTGCAGTGGCATGCATGCTCGTGGCCCACCCCAGTATCAACTCGCTGGGTTCTGGCAATCCTTCCACCTCAGCCTTCCAAGTAGCTGGAACCACAGGTGTGCGCTACCACACCCGGCTAATTTTTTTATTTTATTTTTTATTTTATTTTTTGTAGAGTCAGGTTCTCACTCTAGGTTACCTGGCTGGTCTCGAACCTGCGGGCTCAGGCAGTCCACTCTCCTTGGCCTCCCAAAGTGCTGGGATTACAGGCCGAGCCACCGAGCTCAGCCCATATCAAAATTTAAAACTTATTTGCTGTAAATGATACCGTTAAAAACGTGAAAAGACAACCAAGTAGAAGATATTTGTAGATTATCTGATATGGGACTTATATTCAGAATATTTAAAGAACTCTTATAATTCAACAAGACAACCCAATTAAGAAATGTATAAAGTATCTGAATATAAATTTCCCCAAAGAAGAAGGTATACAAATGGCTAATAAGCACTTGAAAAGATGTTCAGTATCATTAGTTATTAGGGAAATGCAAAGCAAAACCACAATGAGACATACATCATAACCTACTAGGGTGACAGAGGAGACATCTACAAGTGTTGGTGAGGATGTGGAGAAATTAGAGCCTTCATATATTGCTTTTGGGATTGTAAAACGGTACAGCCACCTTGCAAAATATTAAACGTAGAATTTGCCATATGACCCATTCCCAGTTATATGCCCAAGTGAAATGGAAACAAATCTATGCAAAAACTTCTACATGAGTGTTCACAGCAGTATTGTTCATAATAGTCAAAAAGTGGAAATAACCCATATATATAAATTGGATGAATAAATAAAATATGGTATATCCCCTATTTAGCAATAAAAAGGATATGTGCTACAACATGAACAAATCTTTAAAACATTATGCTATGTGGATAAAAGCCAGTCAGAAAAGATCACACTGTATTACATGATTCCATTTATAAGAAACATCTCAAACAGTGAAGGGTTGGGGTACTAGAGAACAGGTGTGGGGGGGGGTGATTTGTATAGCTTTTTTTTTTTTTTTTTGAATTGGAGTCTCTCTCTGTCGCCCAGGCTGGAGCACAGTGGCAGGTTCCTGGCTACCGCAGCCTCGACCTGCTGGGCTCAGGCGATCCTTTCACTTCAGCCTTCCAAGTAGCTGGAACTTACAGGCACGTGCTACTACGCCCAGTTAATTTTTTGATTTATTGTAGAGAGGAGGGCTCACCATGTTGCCCAGGCTGTTCTCAAATCTGAGGGCTCCCAAAGTGCTGGGATTATAGACTTGAGCCACCATGCTCAGCCTTAGCGTTTCTTTTGAAATGATAAAAAACGTTATAGACATAGATTTTGATGGTAATTACACAGCTCTGTACTAAACAAAATCGTATGCTTCAAATCGGTGGATTTTATGTCTCAGAGTTTGGTTTTTTGTTAAGTGTACTTTTTTTTTGTAATGAGTTCTGAAATGGACCCTAGAAAACTTGCTGTTTATAATGATAAGCAATTTATATTAGCCCCAGCCATAATTCACCACCTCTTCCCACCCATTTTCATAGACACCTGAGTTAATTTAGTCTCATCTAATTCCTCTTGCTGTTTTCACTGGGATATCTGCCATGTAGACAACATGAGTCAGAAATGGATCATCCTCCTCATTTGACTGCTAACAGATCCAAGTATTTGTCTTGAGCTGAATGCTTACAACAAAAACTACCAATCATCTTGGTGTTTCTTTTTTCGTTTTTTTTTTTTTTTTGGTGGACAGCCTGGACCCTTCTTTTTTTTTTTTTTTGAGTTGGAGTCTCACTCTGTCGCCCAGACTGGAGTGCAGTGGCCGCTTCCGGCCACCGCAGCCTCGACCTACTAGGCTCTGGCAATCCTTCCGCCTCAGCCTTCCAAGTAGCCGGAATTACAGGCATGTGCTACCACACCCGGATGATTTTTTTGATTTGTTGTAGAGATGAGGTCTTGCTGCCCAGGCGGGTCTTGAACCCGCGGGCTCAGGCAATCCACTCACCTCAGCCTCCCAAAGGCGCGGGATTACAGGCTGAGCCACCGAGCCCGGCTGACACTTCTTTATAGTGAGACAGCCTCTTCATTCCTAGCATAAGGGGAACTTTTTAATTTCTTGTTTATTGTTTGGCTGTCATTGAATGTTTTCCAAATTCTACCCTTTGTCTAGGACCCCAGTTCTTAATAAAGTGTTGTTACCTAAATAAAAAAAGGGTGGTTGAATTGGTCACTAAAATTAATGCATAAAAGTTTGATAAACAAGATATTTACGTAGTCTCAAGAATTTGCCCACAGATTACTTAGTTACAAAGAGAAAAATAGTAACTTGACAGTGAAGAAACCTTGTGGAAACCACCTTGACCAAGTAATTAAAGTTAGCATTATGAGGATTGCCACAAAGCGACATGATGTTCCTCCTGATAATTATTCACTGAGGACGATATAGCGTCACTGTCACTTCTGTGTTATTCTTTGCCAAAATACATAGCCTAAATTTTTTTTAATTTTTATTTTAAAGATGGGTACAATTCAGGTCTAGGTATACAAATGGTCATTGTACAGGTAAGGGTTGGACCTCACTCTGGTCCCCACTTCACCTGGTTTGAGTTCAGGACCCTTATTGATGAAGTATGCCCCCTCTCCCTCCCCTGGCAGTTGACCACTACTGCCAATCCCTTTCTTGTAGTAGTATGGTAATTGTTCAGGGTTTACTTATGAGTGAGAACATGTGGTACTCAGTTCTTTCATAGCCTAAATTTTTAACATGAGTAGGCATCATAGAAGCCCAAATTGAGTGACATTCAACAAAATTGGCTTCTAGTTTTCAGATTAAAGAAGAATAAAAAGTCATAACACCTACATGCAATGTGTATTTAATCTTGGACTTAGAGAAAATAAGACATAAAAGGACATTGAGAAAATTGAAATTGATAAAACTTGAATACAGCTCTTGAATTAAATCACTGATTCTTCAAGGGAATGGAAGTGGATATTTGACAATGTCTAGAGCTATATTCTATTGTCTTAACTTGGGCTGGGGGTGGAGAATGCTATGGGAATCTACGGTGTAGGTGCCAGGTATGATACTAAATGGTGCATAGGATGGTCCCACACAACAAAGAATTACCTGGTCTGTCAATAGTGTGCAATGGAAACCCTGGGTTAGATAATAGTATTGTAACAATGTTGGTTTCCTTGTTAATTGGAAACAGTCATTGATGTATTTAATGGTGAAGGGGCATATCTTCATACACACGTGTGTGTGTGTATGTGGCAACTAATAAAGGAAATGGAGCAAAATGTGAACAATTTGTAATATGGATAAAAATTATAAGGGAATTCTCATTTTTTAAAATTGATTTTTCTCTTCCTTTCCTTTCCCTTTCCTTTCAAGTGGGAGTCTCAGTCTGTCACTCAGGCTGGAGTGTGGTGACATGCTCACAGCCACTGTAGCCTCCACCTGCTGGGCTCAAGTGATCCTCTTCCCAGCCTTCCAAGTAGCTGAAACCATAGGCGTGCGCCACCACACCCAGCTAATTTTTTAATTTATTATAGAGATGTTGCCATGTTGCTCAGGCTGGTCTTGAACCCCTGGGCTCAGGCAATCCTCTCACTTCTGCCTCCCAAAGTGCTGGGATTATAGACAATAACTACTATGCCTGACTCTAAAATTGATTTTTCTGTCTAGTTTCTTAAGAAAACTACTGCTTCAGGTCCTAAACTCTGAAGAAATTTACTCTTATGGAAGTGGAAAATAGATGTTTGGGACTGTTGATAAATGCTAATATAGGTGGAAGTAGAAAGCAATTGGTAACACATGGGGTTTTCTTTTTCACCAAAGCTTCAAAACCAAATATATTGTAAATGTTCCATCTTGGACTGGGCATGGTGGCTCATACCTGTAATCTCAACACTTTTGGACCCTGAGGTAGGAGGATTGCTTGGGGCCAAGAGTTTGAGACCAACCTGGGTAATAGAGCAAGGCCTCATCACTACAAAAAATAAAATATTAGCCTGGTGTCTCTAGTCCTGGGTACTCAGGAATCTGAGGCAGGAAGATCACCTTAACCCAGGAAGTTGAGGCTGCAGTGAGCCATAATGGCACCACTATACTCCAGCCTGGGTCACAGAGCAAGACCCTGTCTCTACAAAAATTTTTTTTATAAATTCTGTATTTAACAGCATGTCATGATTTTGTTCAGAGAAGAAGCCTCAATGTTTCTTTGATTACCTGTACCATTTCCAAAGGGGCTGACATGATTAGAATTCTTTGGCAATAGTGTACACATACCGTAAGGTCCAGGATCTGTTATGGAAATATCAGTAATTAATACCGAAGAGGAATGACATAATTCTAACCATTCATACATGGTACTGGTGACAGTTACATGATAAGTTAGTCTTGTAGAATAGCATCTTGTGTTACCCTAACTTCTTAGGTATAAATTAGTAATACAATTTATTTGTTATATCAAAAGAATTTTTTCTCCATGAAGACAGTTTTCAGTGTGACAGGAAGGAAATTGAACAAAAAATTGTGTCTTGGTTGTCAGTTTACTTTCACAGACCACTCAGATCAGTCTTTCTGACTATAATCATAAATTGTGTATGAAGATTGCATGAAGAGGTTGTAATGAAGAATTATTTTTGATAGCACTTTTAACAGATAATTTTATTTTCGTTATGTTAAAGGAAAGTTTGTTTGGGGGGAAAATGGGAGATGGCTAGAAGCCATCAATTATTAGTATATTTTACATTGCCTTTTAACGATAAAAAGATTAATGACTTTTTAACCTAATTTTTTTGAAGTCAGCAGTGATGTGGATATCCATGTGTATAATGCATGATTCTTTTTAAAATTTGCAGACCATGAAGACTATGACCCACAAACTGTGAGGCTGGGAAGTAGATATAGTCATGTTCAAGAAGTCCAAGAACGACTTAACTTCCTTAGGTTTGTTTTATTCAGTTGTGTTGTTCTCTTTAAGGCACAAATAAGGAATGCAGAGTGAATATGCTATATAGCTAGGTCTTTGTTAATTGACCTTTTTCCCTTGCCATCTTGTATTTTCCCACATAAAAATCATCTAAAAGTCACAGTATTTTCCTGTGTGTTACTAAATACTTTAAAATTATTGGCTGAGTTTTCACTTTCTTCTTTGCAGTATTTGAAAAGGATATGTTTTAAACTTTAGAGTAGATATCTTTTCTTCATATTTGTTTATGTTGCAAATAATGTTTATTCTTAAAGGAAAAATTTCCATATTTTGACAACCAGATAGAGAACTCTGTTGACCTTAATGATACCATAGACAGTAGGGAAATGGGTACAAAAGGCTGCTGGACCAGTACCCCAAAAAGAGTGGATTGAGTCCTCTGGTGCCTTGTTTATTCTAATGACTGACAAAGGCAATCCAAAGAGATGTGTTAATAACATTTCTGATTAGCATGCAGGGGAGAGGCTTCTTCCATTAAGCCAGAGGGAAATGTCAAGGGCTCTATTTGCTCCATGATCAGTATCTTTTAATGATGATATACTTAGGGATTTGGAATGTCCCTTTGTGGTTAAAAGATTTAATGATGAGAGGTTTTTTTTTATGAATTCCAAAAACCACACCATGTAGCAAAAGAGCTTATTTAGAGCACAGGTGTGTTAGCAGAAGTGCTTCAGAAAATCTATTCCATTTATTATTTTGCTACGTGAGTTTAGCCTGACCTATGTTAATCATGTCTTTATTTATTGAATTCTGTGCTTATTTATGGGGAGAAATTTAAGTAGTTACATGATTTTAATTTGAGAAAAACTATCCACCAGATTTTAAGAAATTAGGCATTTGTTTAAAGTGAAGTGTTTTAGCCGGGCTTGGTGGCGCAGCCTGTAATCCCGCACCTTTGGGAGGCTGAGGTGAGTGGATTGCCTGAGCCCACGGGTTCGAGACCCGCCTAGGCAACTTGGCGAGACCTCATCTCTACAATAAATCAAAAAATTAGCTGGTCGTGGTAGTGCGCGCCTGTAGTTCCAGCTACTTGGAAAGCTGAGGCGGAAGGATCGCCGGAACCCAGCAGGTCGAGGCTGCAGTGGCCGGGAGCGGCCACTGCACTCCAGTCTGGGCGACAGATTGAGACTCCAACTCAAAAAAAATAATAATAATAAAAATAAGTGAAATGTTTTTTTTCCCATATGTTTTGTTTTTCAACCACTGGGTTAGATGGACTTGCCTCCCCACATTGAGAATCACTGCCATAGTGAGCCATTGTTATTGATTGGCGTGTGTTGTATTCCTTAGGTTTACTAGAACAGAAAAGTGGTTGTAAACTCTCTCATCATTTTAAAGTTTAGAAACAAAGGAACTCCCTACCTGTTAGTACTTATCTATGTGACCTATAGCAACTAACTCAAGAGAAGGGAACCTAACTTTAATGCTTGCTGTGTGTTCAGCCAGTGTCAAGACATTTTACATTTACTCCTCATAGCAACACGGTGAGGCAGTTGTTATTCCCATTTGGTCAATAAAATAAGATTCAAATGACTTAAAGTAGTTTATTTGAAATCTCTTGTTTATTGTGTGATGGGATTGTACTACTAACTCATATGGGTCTATCTGACTTAAGTCTATGCTCTTTGTACTAGACCAGTAATTTTTCAAACTTAGCCTTTAGGCTTCTTAGTAAGGTTCCTTGAAAATTTCTGAAGAAGCACTGGAAGGTTCCATACCCATTTCTCCTCCTTTCTTTTTCTCCTCCCAACAACTCTAATACTTTTATACATCTCATTTCCATATGGGATTTTCATTTGAAGAGTTTCTGCTTCTGTCTTTGGGGAGAAAAACTGAAAATGTAAGCAATTTTGACTCATAAATTATATCATTGGTTAGTTATCTGTGAAAGTCACTTAATTGGATACTTCATTTTTCCAATGATGTCACAGAAGCAGATTGCTAGAGCTTTTATTTTAAAGTGAAGTAACCTATTAAATGAAATATTTTCAAAAATCAAGTAGCTGGTTTCAAAAACTAAATGGATGGAGTTGAGGGAATGAGTCTTTTATTCATAATCAGCTAGCTACATTCTGGATACATAGTGGGTACTCAGAATATGCTTGTTGGATGAATTAATATCTAGTGGGGTTTTTTTAGTACCAGATAAAAGTTGAGCTTTATGTTCTTTTGAAAGACTATCATTTTACCTGTAGTTAAAATATAATGGTGATAAATGTATTATTTTATATGTATATGGATAGATTGCTTTTCAGGATAAAAATTATCAAAATCTAATTGACAATTTTTTATGTTTTTTCCAAGATTTTTATTGAAGGATGGCCAATTATGGCTATGTGCTCCTCAGGCAAAACAAATATGGAAATGCTTAGCTGAGAATGCGGTTTACCTTTGTGATCGTGAGGCCTGTTTTAAGTGGTATTCCAAATTGATGGGGGATGAACCAGACTTAGATCCTGATATTAATAAGGACTTCTTTGAAAGTAATGTCCTTCAGCTTGATCCTTCCCTATTAACTGAAAATGGAATGAAATGTTTTGAGCGATTCTTCAAAGCTGTGAATTGTCGAGAAGGAAAACTAGTAGCAAAAAGGAGAGCATATATGATGGATGATTTGGAGTTAATAGGATTAGATTACCTTTGGAGGGTAAGTCAAAAGTAGGACCTCTAAACATATCTGATACAGTTTTTCAAATAAGGAATTGCAATTTTGCATATAAATTATATATTCTGCTCTGATGCTTGTCCCAGGAGTCAGGGGTAGTAAAAAATCATCTTTATCTTCTTAATTATGACATTTGTCAGTAGGTTTTTTTCTTCTCCCTTTCCATCTCTCTCTCTCCTTTTGCCACTGATGTTCCCGTAGTCTTAGCTTAGAATCTGTGTTAGAAGTACAGTAACTATATAAATCTTTCATGCCCCCTCCCCCATTGAAGTTAATGTTCTCCAATTTTTATTCAGTATAGATCTGTTTCATCATTTGTAATGTTTGATGCTAAAATAGAGGACAGAAGGAAGGGCTGTTATTTAGAAGGGCTGTTATTTAGGTGTGTGCTTTATTGGCAACATTTGATATTTTTAAATATGTGAGGGAGTAAAATAATAAATATTTAAGGCTTATCTTTATTAATATATTATTCATATCATTAAAAGTCTGACCTGTTATATAGCAGCTTATGTTTTTTTTTTTGGCTTTGTATGAAATATTTTTCTCCAGACTATAGACTGAGTTGTTTACTGTGGCATTTGACCTTTTCATTTAAAAAAATTTTCATATATAAAACATACAAAACCTTTTCATTAAGTGGTTTTCAGCATCTTTTAATGGCAGAGACCCATCTTAAGAATTAGAATTTACATACTACAAAATATAAACCTAATTGAACAATGAAAGCCTGTGATTTTTTTGCTCCAGCTCTCCAACCCTTTTAATAGGGGTCAGCCCTGAAACACCTCCTCAAAGCCCTGTGGTTCTGCACATAGTTTGGAAACCACTGTTGTAATTAGTTGAGTGATAAAGATTGTAGAAACTTGGGGTGGAGAGGGTAGTCCTTTGTGCCAAACTGTATTTCATGTATGCTCTTATTTCCTTTCAGTTAATTTGAATTCCTCTTTGAATGGTTTTCAACTGTATTTCCTTTATCCTTTAGGTATTTTCCTTTATCCTTAGTAAACTGTCTTTTATTCTTAAGCAGATTGCTTTATTCAAAGACCTGTATTTTGCATTTTTTTACCCTTTGTTTTGGTCTGTTTTTCTCACTTAATTTTAATTGATTATCAAAGTGAACTTAACATTACATTATTGAGTAGTATATTAAAAATAACTGAGTTTATGGTTTGAATTTAAGTGCCCAACAAAATATATCTTGAAAAGGATTAACAGTTTTATTATTTTGAACCTAGGTCGTAATTCAGAGTATTGATGATATTGCCAGCAGAGCTATAGATCTCCTCAAAGAGATATATACAAACCTTGGTCCAAGGCTACAGGTCAATCAGGTGAGGATTATAACTTCCACGTATTACAATTCTGACTTTCTTTTTTTTGCTATAAGAATTTTCAAAATTCAGAATTGACTAGAAATTGTTTTGTTTCAACTCTTATTAAAAATGTATTTAAAAAGTCAGTCCAGCCAGGTGCAGTGGCTCATGCCTGTAATCCAAGCACTTTGGGAGGCCAAGGCTAAAGGGTTGCTTTAGCCCAGAAGTTCAAGAGCAACCTAGACAACATAGGAAGACCTCATCTCTACAAAAAATTTTTTAAAGACCCAAAGATTAGCCAGGCTTACTGGCATGTGCTACATGGGAAGCTGAGGTGAGAAGATCTCCTGAACCCAGCAGGTCAAGGCTGCAGTGAGCTGGAATTGTGAGACTGTACTTCAGCATAGGCAACCGAGTGAGACCCTATCTCAAAATAAAAAAATAGAAATTTCAGTCCATATTTCTCTAAATGAATCTTGCCTTGATAATTTTCTTGAGATAATTGGGCCATTTTGAATGTATTTATTATGTTTTGAAATGGCAGAGAGTCTGCTGAATTTGTTTCAGTACTAACACCTAATCCTGAAGGTCATTTATTTACTGTCTAGTCTATATTTGCCAACTTACGCAACTCTCGCTTCTTTATAAGAAATGTATGTGTTTTATTATCAATAAAGACTGCTTAAATATGACTTTTTAATTGATTGCTACTTTTAAATTAGCTGTTGCCTGCCATCTTTAATTGGTTTAATGTTATTATTAATTACTAATTTTTACATTTTAAAGTAACTTGAACTTCCTTTATTTGACCCATTATTGTATGTAGGTGGTGATCCATGAAGATTTCATTCAGTCCTGCTTTGATCGTTTGAAAGCCTCCTATGACACGTTGTGTGTTTTGGATGGTGACAAAGACAGTATTAATTGTGCAAGGCAAGAAGCTGTTCGAATGGTTCGAGTATTAACTGTTTTAAGGGAATATATAAATGAATGTGACAGTGATTATCATGAGGAAAGAACAATTCTACCTATGTCAAGGTTTGTGAATAATCAATCTGTTGGTGTTTAATTCTTAATTATTTGGTATTTTCCTAGCCATATGACAAAAAATTAATGATGATGTACAGGTGAAAGGAGAGTGAGGAAATTTTTCTGTTTTGAAAATGGTGTTGCTCATTAAAAACATCTGCATTCCATACTTTTTTTTTTAAATAACCTTCTCCAGCTGGTTTTATTTTGTTTTGGTTTTTTGATTAGACTTTCTCATTTAGTCATTTCTGGTTTTTATTTTTGCCATTAACATTATTGTCTATTAAGTGTTGAAGTGATAGTTTGCAATTGAAGTGTTTTTATTTTGATGTCATTCATTTATATTTTTAAAAATAATTGCTTAATCAGGTTGGCGAGTAATTGGAAAAAACAATGAAAAGCTGCCTTAGCAGCCAGGTGTGGTGGTGCATGCCTGTAGTCCCAGCTACTCGGGAAGTTGAGGTAGGAGGATCCCTTGAGCCCAGGAGAACAAGGCTACAATGAGCTACGATTGTACCACAGCACTCTAGCCTGGGTGACAGAGCAAGACTCTGTCTCTTGAAAGAAAGAATGAAAGCTCTCTTGACACCCAATATTGCAAGAAATATTTCAAATGAGATTTATAGTTTAAGGATGAGATTTATAGTTTAAGGATGTTTGTAGAGTGAATGCCATTAGTTTGGTTTTTTGTTTTTTGGGGGTTTTTTTTGTTTTTGTTTTTTTGAGTTGGAGTCTCACTCTGTCACCCAGAATAGAGTACAGTGGCCGCTCCCGGCCACTGTAACCTCGACTTGCTGGGCTCCGGCGATCTTTCCACCTCAGCCTTCCAAGTAGCTGGAACTACAGGGGCGAGCTGCCACATCCAGCTAATTTTTATTTATTTATTTATTTATTTATTGTAGAGATGAGGTCTTGTCAAGTTGCCCAGGCGGATCTCGAACCTGAGGGCTCAGGCAATCCACTCACCTCAGCCTCCCAAAGCGTGGGATTACAGGCTGAGCCACCGAGCCCGGCTAGTTTGGTTTTTTTTAATTTCTATTTGGTAATCATGAAATTGTAGAAAGTTACTCCTTGAATATGATTTTCATTTTGTAAAATATCTATCTTAGCACTTTTGTTGTTGCTTTCAATATGAAGTTTATCTTTTACATTTAGGAATAGTCTTAAATTTTGTTGGGCTTTTCTTAAAAGTAGGCACCTCATTTTCTACGACCATAGATACAAGACTAATAACAGTGGAACATGACTGTGTTTTGAAAAGTCGTAATATATGTAGTTAAAGGGAGCAATAAGAAAATAATACAGTTTGAGCATCCCCAATCCCAAAACATCCAAAATACTTCTGGTACCAAGCATTTTAGATAAGTGATACTAAACTTGTATTGAGTATCTTTAATTCACTTTCTCTTGTTTAGTACAAAAATACTCAATATTAAATTCCCACCTTTATTTTCTTGGCAACAAGATTTGAAAGTCTGCTGAATATGGTGTTTGTTTGTTTGTTTTTTCTCCAGAGCATTCCGCGGTAAACACCTCTCTTTTGTAGTTCGATTTCCAAACCAGGGCAGACAGGTTGATGACTTGGAGGTATGGTCTCATACAAATGACACAGTTGGTTCAGTACGGCGATGTATTCTCAATCGTATTAAAGCCAACGTAGCCCATACAAAAATTGAGCTCTTTGTGGGCGGCGAGCTGATAGATCCTGCAGATGATAGAAAGTTGATTGGACAATTAAATTTAAAAGATAAATCGGTACGTATGTATAGTTAACAAATTTTTCAGTAAAATCAAACCTGAGACTTGATTGCATTTATTCAGTAAACATTAACTGAGCATTTGTTTCGTGTGGGACTCTGTATCGGATTATAACACTAAATAAGGATCTTAAGTATCGGATTATAACACTAAATAAAACATGCATGACTATATAGTAGAGGGAAAGGATTTCTAAAAAATTAAGTCGTTATATTAGACAATTCTTTTAAAATGTATTTCTAAAAGCATAGCATATAGTCATTGGGGTTTTTTGTTAGTATATTTTTAAGCTTTGTTTTATGTAAACATTTCCTTGATTTTGATACTAACATAGTATATCATTTTCAGCTAATTACAGCCAAACTTACACAAATAAGTTCGAATATGCCTTCAAGCCCTGATAGCTCTTCTGATTCTTCAACTGGATCTCCTGGAAACCATGGTAATCATTACAGTGATGGTCCCAATCCAGAAGTGGAAAGCTGTTTGCCTGGAGTGGTGAGTAGACACAGTTTTGAGCTACTATATGTAGGACATTATGCTAGTGTCTTTGAGAATAAAGAAGTGTATAGAATAGTTATTTTTCTCTTGAGCTTATAGTTTAATGAGACAAAAGATCAAGTAATCCTCAACTTCAGAATGGATCTCTCTGAAAGGTAATAGTAATTTAATTGAAATTGAAAACAAAATTTTCCTGTGGAGTAGTATTGTTACGTTTACATAGAATTAGTCTATTATAGAGTTTAATTATAACACTATTAGATGTATACATTTAGGAAAATACAGTCGTCCCTCAGTATATGCGGGGGATTAGTTCCATGACCCTCACATATACCCAAATCCGCTCATCCTCAAGCCCTACTGTTGACTGCACGTATGCAAAAAGTTGGCTCTTCATTTACTTGGATTTTGCATCCTGGGAATACTGGGTTTTTGTTGGTTTGTTTGTTTTTGATTTTTTTGGCGGAGTCAGAGTCTTACTGTTACTCAAACTGGAGTGCAGTGGCATGCTCATGGCCACTGTAGTCTCAACCTGCTGGGCTCAGGCGATCCTTCTGCCTCAGCCTTCCAAGTAGCTGGAACCACAGATGTGCACCACCATACCTGGCTAGTTGTTTGATTTTTTGACTAGATGACATCTCACCAAGTTGCCAGGCTGGTCTCAAACTCCTGGGCTCAAACTCCTGGACTCAAGCAATCCTCTTGCCTCCGCCTCCCAGAGTGCTGGGAGTACAGGTGTGAGCCACCACGCCTGGCTTGGAATACTGTAACTTTGATCCATGTTTGGTTGGAAAATCTGTATATAACTGGACTTGCATAGTTCACATTTGTGTTGTTCTGGGGGCAACTGTGTCACTGTCTTTTTTATTTGTCCACAAAATAGATCATTATTCTAGAACTGTTTATGGGCCAGGTGTGGTGACTAGCCCCATTAATCCCAGCTACTTGGGAGCCCAAGGTAGAAGGATTACTTGAGCCCAGGAGTTCCAGGCTGCAGTGAGCTATGATTGTACCACTGTACTCCAGCCTGGGTGACAGCAATAAAACCCTGTCTCTAAGAAAATAAGTAAAAAACAAGAACTGTTTATGTAGGAAGACATCTGTAATCTTTATCACATTATCAGTAACATATCCAAAGAAACAGTGAATCCTTTTTTTCACCCCTCTCTCCAAGAGTTGTATTGGCTACAATAATACCAGCCATGTTAGTGACATAGGGATTTGGCTCCTTAGAATAATTGGATTAGTATTTCAGTAGAGTGCATGGCAGCCTATTGTATTTCCAGAGTCTAAATTGTATATAGTGAGAAATACTTTAATAGTACAGTAAGGGAGCTGTCACAAGGAAATGACTGGAGGTGACTTGGATGATATATTCAGTCTGCGTCATGAATGATTTTGTAATGAAGAAGATGAGAAAGACCATTTCAAAGAGTAGAGATGGCATAAGCAAAAGTGTGTGGAGATTAGCAAACTTATTTGGGAGACTTTTCCTAGGGGGGAGATAATTTACAGGTAATTATTTTGTGTATTTTATATTCTAGATAATGTCACTGCATCCCAGATACATCTCTTTCCTTTGGCAAGTTGCAGACTTAGGTAGCAGCCTGAATATGCCACCTCTTAGAGATGGAGCAAGAGTACTTATGAAACTTATGCCACCAGGTAAAAATTTTTAAATGGTGATACAGTATGTGCTGGATTAATAAAGGGGTATTTTAGCAAAATCTGTTTCTAAATGAACTGTGCTTTGTTGTGTAGACTATAACAAGGGTTGACAAGCTACTACTAGTAAGCCAAATCCATCCCACCACCTGTTTTTGTAGATCCCAAGGGTTAAGGGTGGTTTCCACATTTTTAATAACTTTTTTTTAAAAATTAAAAAATATTTCATGACACATTAAAATTATATGAAGTTTAAATTTTAGTGTCTTTAATCAAAGTTTTATTGGTATACAGTCATGTTTATTTGTCCATAGCTGCTCTTGTCTTAAAACAGCAGAGCACAGTAGTTGTGTCAGAGACTTTATGGCCTGCAAGCCTAAAATACTGAAAATGTTTGCCTAATGTCTGGATTATATTATGAGTCATGTGTCGTCGTAGCATTGTTCTTTTTTATTCCTTAAAAACAGCTTTCAACTTAAAGCTTTTATTCTTGTATATATATACATGTACCATAGTATCTGTAAATAGTATACTTGTACAGCTGTTACTTTTAGATGTATACTAATTTTTACTGTGTAGATGAAAACTCTTATCCCCACATATTCCTAATACTTACTTACTTTACATACACATTCAACATTTGCATTTTCGAGACTGTGTACTTTAGAATTCTGACAACTTTGATCCTGTATTTAATAATTTCTCCATTTTGTTTCTTTGACTTTCTGTATACCTGTCACTCTTCCCACATACTTTCTGATACCCTCTCAAGAAAATTTTCCATTATTATATACCCCTATATGCTGGAACCAATGTCTTTCTAACATAACTTTGATTTAAGTACTTTATTACTATCTGTAGAATAAGATGTTTAAAGCTCATCTGTTGTGCTTTTCTGCCCCAGCTCTAGAATTAGTCTTTTCTTCTTTTAGTGAAAGGAGGAGAGGGATGTATTTCCTTGAAGATTAGTGATATTGAACATTTTTTATATACCTGTTGGTCATTTGTACGTCATCTTCTTTTGAAAAGTGTTCAATCCTTTGCCCTTTTTAAATCAGATTATTTGCTTTTTTGCTGTTGAGTTCCTTAGAAATAATGAAAATTTACTATAATTTTCTTAGGGCAAACTAATTTTTACAGGCCTGGAAATACTCAGTTGTCATATCTTATCAATAATTCTTCAGTTTGTGTTGAAGTTGTTTCTCCTATTCTGAAGGACTAGTGACACATAAGGTAACTAATTCAAATACTAAATTTTGGCTGGCCTTGGTGACTCAGCCTGTAATCCCAACACTTTGGGAGGTCGAGGCGAATGGATTTCCTGAGCCCACAGGTTCAAGACCAACCTGGGCAACTTGATGAGCCCTTGTCTCAACAATAAATCAAAAAAATTAACTGGGTGTGGTAGCACGTGCCTGTAGTTCCGGATACTTGGAAGACTGAGGCGGAAGGATCGCCAGAGCCCAGCAGGTCAACACTGGGGTGGCCGTCAGTGTGCCACTGCACTCTAGCCTGGCAATGGAGAGAGTCTCCAACTCAAAAAAAGAAAAATAAGAAATACTGAGTTTTTACAATAAAATATTTATGTCTGCTCATGTTATTAGTTATCTACTACATCATCTTCATTGATTATTTAAATTTTTGTAATTATTTCATCATGTAAAACCCTGCAAACATACAGAACTACTGTGTGGCCAGGTTCCTATCAGACCACAGACCAGTACCAATCCGTGACCCAGCGGCTGGGAACCCTGATATGATGCATAAATTGAAGCTTCCCGATGTTTTTAGAATACACACTCAACACTGAATCTTTGATCTTGTTATTGAAGCTTAGTGCCACTAGGTGGCAAAAGTGAGCTCTTACCAGGCAGTTTAGACAGGAGACTTGAGAGAGTACTTTTTTTCTTCATTATGTAATGAAAGAATAGTACCTAAATTTGACATAGCCAACTTTGGAAAAGTTAGTGATGATTGGATTACAGTAGAGAAATCATAAGCTCTGGACACAAATGAACTTGAGTTCACATCCTGCTTCTAGTTGCTACTCTGTGGACTTAAACATAAGTTTTCTTAGTTTTTTAGAACTTATCTGTAGAATTGGGCTATAATAACTTTTTTGAATGATTGCAGGGATTAAATGAGGTGGTGTATGGAAAATCCCTGACTTATTGCCTGGCACTTACTATTCAACAAATGTTAACACACACTGTCACTATGATTGTTATAGACACACAAACTCCTGAATAAGAAAGAAAGCAGGAGTTCTGGGCAACCCCCTTGGGTCCCCTCCCACGGTAGGAGCTTTTCTGTCCTCTCAATAAAAACTGCTTTCTAAAGGAAAAAAAAAGAAAGCAGGAGCTCTAAGAAAAGGAAGTGGTTACAAATTCTGTTTCTGGCTATGGTAACTAGCTGTGTAATATTTGGGTAACCATTTAGTGTTTGTGCACACCTGCATGTATTTTAAGGGGTGGGGAGAATCAGCAGCTTTTTTCTTGTCCTTAACTTTACCTCTACGAGTTCATTCTGAATCTTGCCTGAAGTCAAGTGCCTCTGTTATGATTTGCTGTTAAACTAAAACTTCTGCAGTCTTCTCTATAGGTAATTTAATTTTATGACTTATATTGTAAACTCCTGTGTCTTTTATTTACATGCATCAGGAAAACTATTGTTCCATATTATGTAGTTAAAATGTTCTTTACCAGGCAGAATGACTTGCTTTTCCTCTTAAGAGCATCCTTTTTAAACAGGAGTTTGGTATAATATTTTATTTTATTTTATTTTGAGTTGGAGTCTCAAACTGGAGGCAGTGTTGCCCAAGCTGGAGGCAGTGGCATGTTCACGGCCACCCAGCATTGACCTGCTGAGCTCCGGCGATCCTTCTGCCTCAGCCTTCCAAGTAGCCAGAACTATAAGCACATGCTACCACACCCGGCTGATTTTTGATTTATTGTAGAGACGAGGTCTCGCCAAATTGCCAGGACTAGTCTCAAACACGTGAGCTCAGGCAATCCACTCTCCTCTGCCTCCCAAAGTGCTGGGATTATAGGCTGAACCACTGAGCCTGGCCATTATAACTAATATTTTTTAAATATCAAAGTTTGTTGTAAACGCTTGACACTAACTCATGTAAGCCTCACAATAGCCTTATAAGGGAATTACTATTTTTATCTGTATTTTAAAAATGAGGACATTGAGGTACAGAGAGATTTTTGTTAATTGACCTGAGACACATAGCTTGAATTACAGTTCTAGTATTCAGATTTTTTATATTATTAATGTGTCTGTTTCTGCTCATTGTTTCCTATAAATTTTAATAATGCATTGCTATAATCATCTAATTGCTTAGATTTAGGTGTCTTTTAAAAGTCTAAAAAGAAAGAAGCTAAAATTGTAACTGTCTCTGGATGACAGGATTATGGGTGGTTTGAATTTTTTTCTATCTTCCGCATTTTATAAAATGGGGATGTAAATAATTGAGACCTAAAATCATTTAGATTTACAAATGTGAGAGCTGGAATGGCCAATGAGCGATCATTTGATTGAGACTCCTTAGGTGAACTGTAATCCAACACCATTAAATTATATGCTTAGAATTCACTTTCTTTTCTTGAGCTCTTGTTTCTTTTTTCCTACTTCCTTTTGCATCCATCCTTCACTTAGAATATTTTTAAACCAAGCAAGGTATTATCAGATACAGTGGTTAAGCATATGAATTGGTTTGTTTTTAGGGAGTAATTTGGCAAGATATGTCAAGTCTTGGATATTATGATGGCCAAGTTCTGTATGTTTGCAGGGTTTTACGTGGTGAAATAATTACAAAAATTTAAATAATCAATGAAGATGATGTAGTAGATAACCAATAACATGAGAAGACATAAATATTTTATTGTTAAAAACTTAGTATTTCTTTTTTTTTCTTTTTTTATTTGAGTTGGAGTCTCTCTCCATTGCCCAGGCTGGAGTGCAGTGGCACACTGACGGCCACCCCAGTGTTGACCTGCTGGGCTCCGGCGATACTTCCGTCTCAGCCTTCCAAGTATCCAGAACTACAGTCGTGCACTACCACACCCAGCTAATTATTTTGATTTATTGTAGAGACAAGGACTCATCAAGTTGCCCAGGCTGGTCTTGAACCTGCGGGCTCAGGCAATCGACTTGCCACGACCTTCCAAAGTGCTGGGATTACAGGCTGAGTCACCAAGCCCAGCCAAAACTTAGTATTTGAATTAGTTACCTTATGTGTCACTATTCCTTCAGAATAGGAGGAACAACTTCAGCGCAAACTGAAGAATTATTGATATGACAACTGAATATTTCCAGGCCTGTAAAAATTAGTTTACCCTAAGAAAATTATAGTAACTTTTCATTATTTCTATTTTTTTCTTCAAAAGAAGTTTTTCCTTGAAAATTTTTTTTTTACTCACAGAGTGGGTTTTTTAATTATAGGCTAATTACCTTAGAAATAACTTGATTAGCCAGGCTCGGTGGCTCAGCCTATAATCCTGCGCATTGGGAGGCTGAGGTGAGTGGATTGCCTGAGTCTGCGGGTTCGAGACCTACCTGGGCAACTTGGTGAGACCTCATCTCTACAGTAAATCAAAAAAATTAGCTGGCTGTGGTAGTGCGCGCCTGTAATTCCAGCTACTTGGAAGGCTGAGACTGAAGGATCGCCGGAGCCCCAGCAAGTCAAGGCTGCAGTGGCTGGGAGCGGCCAGTGCACTCTAGTCTGGGCGACAGAGTGCAATTCCAACTCAAAAAAAAAAAAAAAAAGAACTTAATTATCAGAGTACTTTATAAAGTTGAAATGACTATTCTTAAGTGTTCTTGAGTGTTTGGTAGCTAATAGTTAACTGTATTGTAGAATTATCCCCCTCCCCAATCTTTTCACTGTAATTTAAAAGAAGCCCATGTTTTAATATTTGGACAAAAGATAATATATCAAAACTCTGCTTACTTTGAGGTGAATATTAGGCACTGTTCCATTATTTTGCTGTTTGCTTTTCAGTGTTCATTTTCTTGGATGTACCTCTAAGTCTCTTTCAGTGAAGCAAGCCAGTTAATACATAATGTCATGAGGGCAAACAATAGAGAAGTTGGAGGGAAGAACTTGTAATTTTTTTCTTTTTTGTTACTTCCAATCAGAACTACTACTTTTTAAAGTATATTGTATTTTTTTTTTCCCGTCTCCTGAGGCTGAAGGGAAGGCATGTTGATTTGAGGTCTGTGAGCAGCAGACCCTTTGTGTTTAGGTTGAGTGATTACAGAGCCCTGGGTGACTTTTTTTTTTTTTTTTTTTTTTTTTTAATCGATCCAAGTCTGGTTGTGTCTTATGAAATTTGAGCCTAGCCCAACTGAATGGATTGTTGTTCCATATTAATATAATCTTCAAAATATATAAAAACATGTTATGAATACATGAGTTATGTTTGGTTTCAGACTGTGCCCCCCCCTTTTTTTTTTTACAGATAGCACAACAATAGAAAAATTAAGAGCTATTTGTTTAGACCACGCCAAACTTGGAGAAAGCAGCCTTAGTCCATCTCTTGATTCACTTTTCTTTGGTCCTTCAGCCTCACAAGTGCTATACCTAACAGAGGTTGGTTTTTTCCTTTTGTGTTTATTCCATGTTCTTTAAACTTGACCTTTTGTATGTTAATATGAAGAACATGAGTAAAATTGTAATAAAATATTTTTGAAACAGTGCAACCTTTTAATATAGCTCTTACTCTTTCTTTTTCTTTTCCAGGTAGTCTATGCCTTGTTAATGCCTGCTGGTGCACCTCTGGCTGATGATTCCTCTGATTTTCAGTTTCACTTCTTGAAAAGTGGTGGCCTACCCCTTGTCCTGAGTATGCTAACCAGAAATAATTTCCTACCGAATGCAGATATGGAAACTCGAAGGGGTGCCTACCTCAATGCCCTTAAAATAGCCAAACTGTTGCTTACCGCCATTGGCTATGGTCATGTTCGAGCTGTGGCAGAAGCTTGTCAGCCAGGTGCAGAAGGTGTGAATCCCATGACATCGGTAATACAGGCTTTTAAAAAATCTTTTTATAATAGTAGATAGCAATTTTTAAAGCTAAACTTCTCAGTTTTTTAGTGGAACTCATTTAGAGGTAGACTCAAAATGTTGAAAGTGCCTTTTCAGAAGTTGTTCTCTATTAAATTGTAATTATTAAAAGTACAATGTTCTTCACTAGCTGTGCTATTTAGAGAGGGCAGTTCCTTCTTACCCAGTTAAATCTTGCTTGACTTGCAATTATTTCAACCCAACAAAAACCCCATATGAATATCTTGCTGGCTTGTGCCTGGCAGATATGTAAAGACACAGATGGTAATAAGAGATGTAATTGATTTGGCCCGTTGCCAGCTTCCCTTCCCACCTTACATTAGTTCTAAGCTCATTCTGACTCTCTTTGTCTTGGTGGCATTCTTGATCTGTGTCACCAAAAATTCTCGAGGCATGCCAGAATTTGGTGCCTGTTGATGAACCATCAGACTCTGCATTTAATTCTAAAATTTTAGCTCTTTTAAGATACATCATAAGTGACAGTTTTATAAGTTACTGATAGATGGTAAGAGTTTCAGAGAAAGATTTTTTTTTTTTTTAAGAAATGGCTTAGGTCTTAATTGGGAAAATTGAAATGTTGGTAAATACAATATTGCATGTTGTTTTAGCTATGATAATACTGTGATTATGTTTAAAAGGAAGCGCCCCTGTATTTTTTAAATGGTGAAATATTTACAGATAAAATTATATAATACATAGAATCTGCATGAAAACAATCCTGGGGGATGGTTGAGAGGGGATAGAAAGCGAGGGGGGATAGTTAGATAGAACAGCTTGGTCCACTGGTGATAATTATGGAAGCTAAGTAATGGTTACATGAGAGTTCAGTGTTCTACTCTCATCATTTGCATGTGTGTTAGAAATGTTTTATAAAAAATAAAAGTGACTTGAATTTTACATTATTTTGTATTGCAGGTCCCATCTTTGTTAGTTCTTATTAGGTTTTTTTTCCAACTTAAGAGACAAGTTCCTGTTAGGATAAAAACATTCTTGTCATGATCCCTGACACAGGCACTTAATAAAGTACACCAAAAACAATTACATGCTTCCCTTTTTACTTTTTTTCAGTATTTATTCAGAGAAGGTGCCCTTATGGATGCAGAAGTACATAATAGCCTCTAATCTCAAGTAGCTCACAGCCATTAGGAAGCCAAATGCAAAATTAGTAATATAAAATTATCTTAAATAGTGCTGTAGAAATGTTTACAATATAGTGGGGGGGGGGGTTACAACTTGAAGGCAGTCAAAATTGCCTGGCTAGCAACTATTTAACAAAACTAATGTTTTTTCCTCATAGATTTAAAAACTTGATTGTACTATTAAGTAAAAACTTTGGAACCTTTCGTACATTAGGCTTGTTACTGTTTTTCAGTATTTCTTAATTTTTGTTTTTTTTTTTCAAAGCAGAATTTGATGATTAGGGAATACAAACAGGGGTCTGCCCAGGGGCATGTAACATAAAAGATGTGCAATACTTCACTGAGTTTCTAGATGACCAGTCTGTTCAGTTTATCATTATCCCCTATAAGTTAAGTTGGGCCCAGGTATAGAGACACAGTTGTGTTGATACAGAATGGGGGTTTGCAAAGAGACATATGGTACTCCAGTGCACAAGAAAGAGAAAGCCCACCTTTTTGGCAACGCTTCTTGTGTAAGTTTGCCACAAGTTCTGTAGTAAATGTATGGAAGGAGGTTATTCTGGAGAAGTTGTGATTGATGAGAAACAGATGATTGGGTCTGGTTACATACAGATTATTTACTCTGAACAAAATGGTTACCTTTTTTTCAGGTAAACCAAGTTACTCATGATCAAGCAGTGGTGCTACAAAGTGCCCTTCAGAGCATTCCTAATCCATCATCCGAGTGTATGCTTAGAAATGTGTCAATTCGTCTTGCTCAGCAGATATCTGATGAGGTTAGTATTTTATTATAAAGACCCTTCTCACATTTTTAATTTTCCTAAACCCACTTATTTTAAAACTGTCTTAGTCTAAAGTTCCCTTAGCATCAGTTTTGTCTATTAGTACTTTATGTTTGTAATCAACTTTGTGTCCGATAAACAGCTTCCTTTTATAGTATACAGATTCAGCAAATTTTGACAAATGCGTGTACATGTGAAACTACTGCCACAATCAAAACAGGATATTTTCACACTCTTTCCTTATGCCCCTTTGCTGTCCATTCTTTCCTCCACCCCTGACCTCAGATAACTACGGATCTTTTTGTCCCTATAGAGTATTTTTCGTTTTCTGGAATTTTATACAGATGGTATACAGTGTTTGTTCTTTTGTGTCTGGTATCTTTCACTGAGAATAATGACTTTGAGAATTACCTATGATATGTGAATCAGTAGTTCATTCCGATTGATTGCTGAGTAGTATCCCGTTATGAACATTGCACATTTTGTTTATCTACATACTTGACAAAGCACACTTGGATCTTTTTCCTTTTTGACTTTGAGTAAAGCTGCTGCCAACATTGTGTACAAATGTTTGTGTGATCATGCGTTTTCATTTCTCTTGGATAAGAAATTAGGAGTGAAGGCCGGGCTCGGTGGCTCAGCCTGTAATCCCAGCACTTTGGGAGGCCGAGGTGAGTGGATTGCCTGAGCCCGTGGGTTCGAGACCCGCCTGGGCAACTTGACAAGACCTCATCTCTACAATGAATCAAAAAGTCAACCGGGCATGGTAGCGCATGCCTGTAGTTCCAGCTACTCAGAAGGCTGAGGCGGAAGGATCGCCAGAGTCCAGCAGGTCGAGGCTGCGGTGGCCGGGAGCGACCATTGCACTCTAGTCTGGGTGACAGAGTGAGACTCCAACTCAAAAAAAAAAAGAAAAAGAAAAAGAAAGAAATTAGGAGTAAAATGGTTGTCGTCTTAAAATAGTACAGGACCAGATCCTGACTTGGAGAGCATACTTTGTGTTATTGCTGTTTTAAAAACTGTTTTTAAAAAAATGTGACAAAGACAACTGGAAACCTGAAGACAATGATACTACTTCCTAGCAATTCCTATTTCCTTTACAAGGAGAAACTTTGATTTTCTTGTGATTATTTCATCCTCATATTCTATCAACACTTTAATTACTCATTATTTTGCAGGCTTCAAGATATATGCCTGATATTTGTGTAATTAGAGCTGTCCAAAAAATTATCTGGACATCAGGATGTGGGTCATTACAGCTAGTATTTAGCCCAAATGAAGAAATCACTAAAATTTATGAGAAGGTAAGAATCATCACAAATATATGTCTTGTAAACAAATGTTTAATTGTGCGTGTGGCTGAATTTTTATTGTTTATCTTTAAAAATCCATTTACTTTCATGTTAAAATAGTTGAAAACTGATAGCTATAGTTGAGAATATAGTAAAAATTTACTTTGGAAATAAAGTGCTTAAGAATCCTGCCATGAGGCTGCTTTTTAAATAAAATTGCATTTTTCTGCTTATCACTGGGATCATTTTATCACATGCCATTCAACAATGACAAAATTTATTTTATTTTATTTTGAGTTGGAGTCTCACTCCGTTTTCCAGGCTGGAGAGTGTAGTGGCACACTCACGGCCACCCCAGTGTCGACGTACTGGGATCTAGTGATCCTTCTGCCTCAGCCTTCCAAGTAACTGGAACTACAGGCATGCGCTACCACACCAGCTAATTTATGATTTATTGTAGAGATGAGGTCTTGCCAAGCTGCCTGGGCTGGTCTTGAACCCGTGCACTCAGGCAACCCACTGACCTCGGCCTCCCAAAGTGCTGGGATTACAGACTGAGCTACCCAGCCTGGCCTGACAAAATGTATTGATGAAACATTAGTGTAAATACTTTCTCCTATTCTGTTTATTCTTTCATCATTTTTCTGTCGTGTGTAAATTTTGGTTGAACTAACAGTTATGGTATCATGACATTTAAGTGTTCTTGCTTGATTCTTTTGAAGCAACCAAAAGTAGGTAGAGTATCAGGTGTCATCCCTGACCTTCTGTTAAGTTAAGCAAATTATCTACAGAGGAGAAACGGTACTGCATGGCTTTCTGATTGCCTGTCATATATACCTGTTCTTAATAGCTACTGCAGCATGTTTAGAAGGAGAAATTGAGTTATAGGAACTTGCCTGACTTTGTAGAGCCTCCCTTTTATGGCCAACATAACCCTGATTTGCCCAAGATATATGTTCATGTTCCATAGTATTTATATGGTACAGTCCTGGGTATTTATTCAGCAAATAAATGAATGCCTATTCTGTTTTAGGCATGTACTATAGTTATTATTTTTTGATGAATAAATTCAGATTAGGATGTATTAGGTGCCTACCCAAACATATTTTAGGCTCTAAAAGTCTTTGAAACTCTTTCTGAACAATTGTCCAAGACAATTGATTTTGAATAACATGGCACAATAGGCAAGCTGGATGGTGGAACTACTAGTCAAAAGCACCTAACTGCTGCACCAGAGTGATTCTTGAAAAAGGAATGATTGTTGGTACACAACTCAGAAGGTCTCTAGGAACCTGAAGGACAAAGAACTAGATAGTATGTTCAGTGTGCTCCCTTACCCTTCCTTGAGACATAGTAAAACATTGGAATTAGATTTTATTTTCTGCTGTAGTAATTTCCAGATTGTTCCAAAAGGGCCTCAGGAGTTGCATGTAGTCTCAGAGAGATTGAGGCCGAGAGGTTTAAATGAGTAGATAAATTTTAAGCACTCGCTTGAAGTCATATGAGATTTTTCTTAAATGCTTGTTTAGGTAATTTGCTTCTGATTATAATTTTACAGACCAATGCAGTCAATGAGCTGGACTTGGAAGATGAACAGGTTTGCTGTGAAGCATTGGAAGTGATGACATTATGTTTTGCCTTGATTCCGACAGCCTTAGATGCTCTTAGTAAAGAAAAGGCTTGGCAGACATTCATCATTGACTTACTGTTGCATTGTCACAGCAAGTAAGTATCTTTTAACTAAAAAAAACTTGATCTTTGTAAACTGAAATGAATTTATACTGACAAAATATGTTTCAGAAGTCAAATGTTTATTGTCTCTATAGCATGTTGGTGTTGAGAAAAATTTTATTTAGCAATGTTTTGCTTAACCTAAATTTGTTTGGTTTTTGCTTAACCTAGATTTGCTTGATTTTAGTCTCTGTAAAATGCCAGTATTAATTCTCAAAGTACTAATTTTTTCTAATTTCAGAATTCAGTTCACCTAAGAAGCATACATATATTAGCCCCATTTTTAAAGATCTGGTTTGCAGGATTTAAATAGGACATTAGCCTCCTATCTTGGATTCCTACATGCCTGTTTTTTTGTTTTTTTTTTAATAGCCAAGCTTAATTTGATGTGCAATTTATGAAACAGGGTTATTGCAGAAACTTTTACTGTTTATACTGAGAATAAAAATCCACTATGAAGTTCTTATTTTCATTTCAAGTGCATTTAATTGGTGACAGTAATTTCATTTGGGGCTTCTTTTTGTGCAAGTCAATCAGATTTGTAGAAAATGATGTTTCCATTCTTATGTCATTCTGATCCTGACCTTCATATATAAGGTAACTTTTTAAACTTGAACTCTAATTAGTGTCACTGTTATACATAATTAATCTGTCTCATATACATTTTGTGAAAAGACTGAAAATGTTCGCTTTGTTTATCATTTTGTCACATGCCATTCAACAATGACAACATTTACTGATGAAAATTTAGTATAAAGTCAAAATATGTTATTTGCCGTAATGGAATGTAGTGATAAATAACGCTTTAAAAATGGACATGATGTAGCCGGGTGTGGTGGCTCATGCCTATAATCTCAGCGCTTTGGGAGGCGAAGTCAAGAGGATTGCCTGAGCCCAGGCGTTCGAGATTAGTCTGGGCAACTTGGTGAGACCTTGTCTCTACAGTAAACCATAAAATAAGCCAGGCATGGTGGTGTGCGCTTATAGTTCCAGCTACTTGGAAGGCTGAGGCAGAAGGATCACCTGAACCCAGCAGGTCAAGGCTACAGTGACTGAGTGTGCCACTGCACACCAGCCTGGGCAACAGAGTGAGACTCCGACTCAAAAATAAAAATGTACATGATGTAATGGTGGTAGACTGAACTTGGCTGCTCCAGAAGATGCTCTCAAGTGATTTAGTGTGTCTCAAGTGAGAATATCTATTATTTTAAGAAGTTTCTTGGGTATTTTTCTTGAGAACATCCAGTTCAACCTATTCAGAAGCTTCCTTAACATGATCCCCTCAAATCAGGTTGAGCTTGCAGCCTCTTGGAAAAGATAAATAGGTTGAGTAAGTCTAGTTCCACTTAGTAGTGCATTTTTGTGGGGGTGATGTGATGAAATATGATTAGCCAACAGTCTGAATGAAATCAGACCTGGACGTAGCAAGTTTCTTATTCTGTGTCAATGTTTTTCACTTCTTAGGCTAATAAGAATGAAGGAGCTTAGTTTCACAGGTTTTCTGCCATCTATCCTTTAGGAAAATCTGTCTTATACAAGATAGAACCATTACACCCCTCTGTTCTCTAACACTTGCCTGCAGTGGGGTAAAGTACTACAGAAAGCACACAATCTCATTATGTCTCTGTTATCTTGTCTGCAATAATAAAGGAGGTATTCTAGGTTCAGATCTTCTGAGTTTTAGGTATCTGATTTTTTTCTCTAGTATTGAGTATTGCCATCCCATGTGGTTTTCATTCATTTTGTAAATATCTTGAGAACCTACTGTAGGTTCAAAATCTCTGATTTTCAGGTTATGAGAATTTGGCAGCAAACCCAACTTGAACATTAATTGTTGGCATTAGCTGTCAAAAATCTGAATCCCTGACCGGGCGCAGTGGGCTCAGTCTGTAATCCCGGCAGTTTGGGAGGCCGAGGCGAGAGGATTGCCTGAGCCCGGGGTTCTAGACCAGCCTGGGCAACTTGGTGAAACCTCGTCTGTACAGTGAATCACAAAAACTAGCCAGGCATGGTGGCGTACATCTGTGGTTCCAGCTATTTGGAAGGTTGAGGCGAAAGGATCACCTAAGCCCAACAGATCGAGACTGCGAGGGCCATGAGCATGCTACTACACTCCAGCCTGGGCAACAAAGAGTGAGACTCCAACTCAAAAAAAAAAAAAAAAAAAGCCTGAATCCCCAAACGCAGTGACCCCAGAAGTTTCAGATAAGGGCTTGTGAGCCTGCGTACATGAGTCTACCCCTCAGGTTGAGTTTATAATATTACTGTAATCATAATGGTTAAGCATAGCTATTTATTTATTTGTTTATTGATTTGGAGTCTCACTCGGTCGCCTAGACTGGAGTGCAGTGGCCACTCCCGGCCACCGCAGCCTCGCCTGCTGGTCTCCAGCAATCCTTCCGCCTCAGCCTTCTGAGTAGCCAGAATTACAGGCGCGTGCTACCACGCCCAGCTGATTTTTTGATTTATTGTAGAGATGAGGTCTCGCTGCCCATGCGGGTCTCGAACCTGCGGGCTCAGGCAGTCCACTCACCTCAGCCTCCCAAAGGCGCGGAATTACAGGCTGAGCCGCCGAGCCCAGCTAGCATAGCTATTTATAAAACATTTCTCACTTTATCCCTAAAGCAACTTGGAAGTAGATAGACTTTACTGATGGAGGAGCTAAAGCTGTTGGAATTTAATTACTGACAAGGTCATATCATCAGTAAATGGAAAAGTAAGACTCAAACCAGGTTTTCTACCTTTTGAATTCTGACTTATTTCTTCCACACAAGTTTGGCTCTGGGTATGATATAATCCACTAGCAAATATGTGAATCCCTACTATGTGCTTGGCAATTAAAATCCAAACTCAAATAAAGCAGTTCTTGCACTCAAGGAACTTTGAGACAGAAATTGATACCATAAAAGGTAAAGCACTCTGGGCCAGGCCTGAAGGCTCATGCCTGTAATGCCAGCATTTTGGGAGGCTGAGGTGGGAGGATCACTTGAGTCCAGGAGTTTGAGATCAGCCTGGGCAACATAATGAGACTTTTCCTCTACAAAAAAAAGTAATAAACAGGTATGGTGATATGTGTCTCTAGTCCTAGCTACTCAAGAGGCTGATGTAGGAGTATCAGTTGAGCCCAGGAATTGGAGTTTGCAGTGAGCCCTGATTGTGCCACTGCATTCCAGCCAAGGCAACAGAGTGAGACGCTGACTCAAAAACTCAACAGCAACGACAACAAAAACACCTAAGTAAAGTGCTTTGGTAACTCAAAGAGAAATAACTTACTTTCTGCCTGGAAGAAGTGAAGACTTTGTGCAGGATATAGCATGTGAACTCATGTTTGGGTAGCATTTAGCTGTGCATTAAAATGGAAGATGGGCCTTGCCAGTGCACCCTGTCTCACTCCCGGTTGTGCTGCTTTTTCTTCACGTCTTTGGACTAGATACACTTTCCTCCTCATACACCTTCTACCTTCATCTACGCACTTAGCACCCATTGCCTGCCCAGCTGCAATATCCTTGATCTTCCCACCCCTGGTGTTGCATCCCTCTAATCTTTTGACCACACTGCAGGTCTCAGTCTCATCTTGCTCTCCTGCTTAAAATCTTTCCTTGTCTTACCATCACCTTTGAATTAAATCCAGACATTTAAATTTGTCTTGTAAGTGCTCTGTGATTTGGTCACTGCTATTGTTCACTCAGCATTTTCAACTTAGGTGCCACATTTTCCAAGTAACTTCCTTATCCCTGACTAGGAAGGTTTCCTCTATTCCTTACATGGTGTATTTCCACATCATAACACTGACCTTATTTTATTGCGTTAGCTGCAATTGAATTTGAATTCCTTTAGGCATGATATGCTTTCACAGTTTCCTCTTGCTTTATACTATACCTAATGAATGTATTTATGTTACCTCTCTGATCCATGAAAACATTTGACTTTGCCACTCCTGGTATGGTGCTTTCAGAGCAGAGCCAAGTATTCTGGTTTGATGTCTAGAAAGGGAGTAAAAGATTGGGAGTCAGTTTGATAGAAGGCCTGTGATGCTGAGATCTAAGTAATGTTTGATTTCAGTATGGTAGGCAGTCTTATTTATTTGTTTCGGAATAATGATTCAAGTGTCAGTTACATACCAGACACTTTTCTAGCCACTGGGGATTTGAAAAAACAGATAAACCCTTAACTACCTTGGAGCTTACCTGCCAAAGGGAGTGGGGGAAGAGAAGAAATACAGGAAAATATAGTATGTTAGGTAATAATAAATGCTATGGAACAAAATAAAGCAGAAAAGGGGATAAGTAGTGTGAGAGTTAGTGCAGAAGGCTTCTCAAAGAAGGTGACTTCTAAACAAAACTCTGAAAGAGTAAGGTAATGATTCATGTGGATAATGGAGATACTGTGTTTTAAGCAGAAAGCAGATGTAAGTGTCTTGAGAGAGGAACATGCCTGATATATGAAAGAACAGGGAAACTGGTGTGACTGGAGCAGAGTGAGAGGAGGACAGCTTACATGGGGTAGAGTGAGAGAAGGTAGCAAATAAGCAGTCTGTATGGATTTTATAAGTCATTGTGAAGGCATTGGCTTTTACCCTGAGTGAGATGGAAATCCATTGGAAGGTTTTGAGCAGAAAAAGATGTGCTGTGACTTAACATGAGTTTATTCTGATTAAGAATAGGGTATAGGGTAGTAGGAAAAGCAGTTAGACTATTCATTAGTTCAAATAAAAGATGATGGTGGCTGAAAGTATGGCAGTAACAGAAATGATAATAAATGATCAGATTCTGGGTCTGTTGTGAAGATAGAGACAACAGGATTTGTTGACAGAAATGTGTTTCTTTTGAAACACTATAGAAGTCTGCATATGTTCGGGGGAGCTTGATTAGCAAAAGTTAAATACTAACCCTTTATGGACCCTTGCTCTGTTTCAGCTACGCACCTAACTTGTTTAAAAATTATAAACTGGCCGGGCTCGGTGGCTCAGCCTGTAATCCCGCGCCTTTGGGAGGCTGAGGTGAGTGGATTGCCTGAGTCCACGGGTTCGAGACCTGCCTGGGCAACTTGGCGAGACCTCATCTCTACAATAAATCAAAAAATTAGCCGGGCATGGTAGCGCGCTCCTGTAGTTCCAGCTACTTGTAAGGCTGAGGCGGAAGGATCGCCGGAGCCCAGCAGGTTGAGGCTGCAGTGGACAGGAGCGGCCACTGCAATCCAGTCTTGGTGACAGAGTGAGACTCCAACTCAAAAAAACAAACAAAAAAATAATAAAATAAAATAAACTCAAACAAACAAATAATAAAATAAAATAAATAAAAATTATAAACCAAGGCAGCAACCTTTGAAAATCTTATAAAAGGTATGGATCTTCTCCCCAGAAAAATAGGTACTCCTAACTTCAACTTACTTGAGTCTCTGCTCCATCCCCTAACTCTACTCACAAAATTTTAGGGGCTTCTGATTCTCTGGTTTATAGGTCTATGGACTCTTTTCAGAAACCTAAAAAATATCCAGGAAGGAAGTTAGTATACAGAATGTTTATATACTGTTGAGTCCTTTACACTTGAACTTTAAATTAGCTTCTGGGCTCTCTAGTAACCAGCACATAGACAAAAGTGTAGTTATCCACAAAATAGTTTGTGGTGTCTCTAAGGTACACAGATGCATAGTCATCAGAAACTTGTTGAGCATTTTCTATTTGTCAGACATTGTTCTAGGTGCCAAGAACTCTAGCATCAACAAAGCAGAGTCCCTTCCCTGAAAGAGCTAACTTTCTAATGGAGATAAATCATCATCCTGCATTTGTACATTTAGTTACTGGTTCTTGAGCACCTGCCAAACATTTTGCTAGGTTCTAGAGGCATAGTGTTAATAGATGATTTCTCTGTACTCTTGGGGAGCATATTTTCTTGTGAGATCTGTATGGTATATAACAGAGTTTTTTTAAAGATCCATAATGATCAGGTAATTCCCAGTACTGGAACCAGAGACAAGTTTTTCCCATGGGTCATCGTAAAGAAAAACGCATAGTACAGTAGTTCTCAATCTTCAGCACACAACAAATCACCTAAAGGGTTTATTAATACATTATTCAGGAGATCTGGGTTGGGGCCTGAGAATTGGCATTTCTAACAAGTTCCTAGATGATGCTAATGTTGCCGATCTGGGGAGTATGCTTTTGGAACCAGTAATATATGAGGGACATCTCTCACAGTGTCCTTACTGTGATTGTTATAGAATTCCCCCAGAGCTGTTGTTCCAAGGCACAATTGAATAAAAATTCTGTGGAAGGTCAAAAAAAGTGATAAGGCTTACTGTAGAGCATTTTGTGTGTAAAGGAATATTTCCAGTCTGTTCCAAGAAAAGAGGTGTTAGAAGGAATCTCTCAAACTCTTAGTTACAGTTTGTGGTGTAGTCCTGGGCATACAGCTTAAGTTGAGTTAATCTATTATGTGTTGGTGGTTTGAGTGCTCCTTACTATTAATTTGTCTCCCTCTAATACTCTCCCCCAAAGAGAATGGTGTTACAGTCTTTTTTTAAAATATAAATAATATATTAAATGTGGAACATTTTTATTTCAGAACCGTTCGTCAGGTGGCACAGGAGCAGTTCTTTTTAATGTGCACCAGATGTTGCATGGGACATCGGCCTCTACTTTTTTTCATTACTCTACTGTTTACTGTTTTGGGGGTGAGACGTTTTTCATATACTTATCAACGTGATTCAGTCTTTAAACAAGGAAGATTCAGAAATGTATGGTTTTAGCTTGCATTAAATGTAGGTCAAGTCTATATTTAACAAATAAAATTTAGTCATTTTCCATACTGTTTTAGTCATCTTTCATCATTTCTGGGTATTTAAAAAGTAGATTCTGAACATGAGCGTTTAAATTCATATTATTCTACTATTTTTTCAGAGCACAGCCAGAGAGAGAGCTAAACATTCAGGCGACTACTTCACTCTTTTAAGGCACCTTCTTAATTATGCTTACAATAGTAACATTAATGTACCCAATGCTGAAGTTCTTCTCAATAATGAAATCGATTGGCTTAAAAGAATTAGGGTAAGTTGCAGTTAATATTTTGTTGATCATACCATTGTTAGTAAATAGTTTATTATTAATAGATGGTTTATATTTTTGAGCATTTTGGTTTAATGGAATGCTCCAAAGAAAATAATTCAGTCTGCATCAGTGGATATTAGTTACTTATGATTCACAAAACGAATGCATTACTAGTTTTGTAAAATGCTTTGCCTGCTTTATATACAGATGTCCACCTTTCATTTTAGTATTTTGGACTTTTTTTGCAAATTCTCGTTTTTAAAAAAGTACTCTTGAATTGTTTTCATCAAAAGCGAGTCTGATAGACTAGCACTTTTCATCTTAACACCTGATCCTTTATACTTAGGCAGAATTGTATGACATTTATTTTGAAGTGATTTGTAGTTGTAACCTTCAAATTAGCATTTCTTCTACTAGTTTGTAAAGCCTGTTTCTAGAAAATTCTGAAGAAAACTTAGCCCTTTGTACTTGTAGTCATTTCATGGATCACCTGTCAGCAACTCAATTGTACTTTTTTACAAAATAGTGAAAAATGGATTTTTTCATATTAAACAGTATAACGTTGGAACCAGTTATTTTATTGTAGTGACGTTTGGCTTATAATGGAATTTTGGACATTGAGGAACTTATTTAAGACAATAAAGTCAAAATTTTATATGTTATATTTTTCTAACATGTGGTAGTATGTAAAACAGTCACCAACATGCATTGCAGGTTCGTTGATATTTGTTGTGCAATAGTGATTTGTTTAACGGCTTCCACCTAGTGTTTTTCTATTTGAACAAACAATGCAGTCTCGTTTCATTCCTCCCATATTAATATGTAATTTATTGTCCACTCTGTTGTTCCAAGCTGATGTGTAAGGACATTCTCTTTCTATGTAACTCCAGCTGATGTTTTTTTATGTGTATTTCATCTCCTTATTTGCTTTTTTGTGCAATTTGAGTAGAAAACTTCAAGAAAACACATTTTTGAAAAATTTGGACTGGCATAAGTTTGTCCTGTATAATCAACAGCAATGTCTTTATGTCCCCTCAGAGGGACATTCTAGTGGTTTGCTAGATTTACAATGTCCCCTCAGAGGGGACATCTGAGTGTGAAGGGTTAAGCTTGCTTGAATCAAAAGGTTTAGAGGAATTATCTCCTCTCCCTCCAGCTGTCTTGTTCTGGCTCTTTTCCCTCTTTACCTCCCTTTTCATAAGTTAGGCATTTGATATTTTTTTCTTTGTCAGGATGATGTTAAAAGAACAGGAGAAACAGGTGTGGAAGAGACGATCTTGGAGGGCCACCTTGGGGTAACAAAAGAGTTACTGGCCTTTCAAACCCCTGAGAAAAAATTTCATATTGGTTGTGAAAAAGGAGGTGCTAATCTCATTAAAGTAAGTTCTGTGCTCTTGATCCTGGACTAGATATCCTAACCTTCTAAATGTTTATCATCACATCTGTCTGATTAATTTCTAGGGCCATATCTTTGGTGTATTATCTTGATCTTTTCTCTTTTTAAAATTTGCTTATTAATTTTTATCAAGGTTATGATAATTTTTAAAATATAGTTGTGCCTTGCTTTATTCAAGAAGTATTTCTAGACAGGTATGGTGACTCACACCTGTAATCCTAGCACTTTGAGAGGCAAAGCAAGAGGGTTGCTTGAGACTAGCCTGGGCAACATAGCAAGACCTCGTCTTACAAAAAAATAAAAAATTTAGCTGATCATGGTGGTGCATACCTGTAGTCCCAGGTACTTGGGAGCCTAAGGTGGAAGGATTGCCTGAGCCCAGGAAGTGGAGGCTGTGGTGACCTGTGATCATGCCACTGCACTCCAGCCTGGGTGACAGAGTGACTCTCTAACTCAAATTTTTAAAAAGAGATTTCTAATTTTTGTATTTAAATAAAATTTTATTATAAACCATTTTATAAAGCAAAAAGGCATGATTTTTTTATTTAGAAAATTCTGACAAACCTCCATAAGAATGCATCTTTTTTTTTGGCATCCAAGTCTCACTTGGGCTAATTTTTTTTATTTTTTTGTGGAGATGAGGTCTCACTATGTTGCCTAGGCTCTGTTCTTTTCTAATACTTAAAAAATTTTTAACTTGGGAAATTAGATCAGTTTGTTAATTCTAATAGTGTTTTGAAGGAGGATCGTTTCATTACAAAATCCTATATGTTTCCTGAGATAAGCGATCTTAAATTCTGATAAGTGATTTTAAAGTTATTTCCTTACAATAGACATTTTTCAAAAATCTGTATCATTGCTAACGTGATCCTTTTTTCAATTTCTTAGGAATTAATTGATGATTTCATCTTTCCTGCATCCAATGTTTACCTACAGTATATGAGAAATGGAGAGCTCCCAGCTGAACAGGCTATTCCAGTCTGTAGTTCTCCAGCTACAATTAATGCTGGTTTTGAGTTACTTGTAGCATTAGCTGTTGGCTGTGTAAGGAATCTCAAACAGATAGTAGATTCTTTGACTGAAATGTATTACATTGGCACAGCAATAACTAGTAAGTATTTTTAAAATATAAAGTAATGTTTGATAATTCTAATGTTCCAGATTCTGTTTTCCTGTTTTTCTTTTAGTAAACATTTTCAACTTGTGTTTTGTTTCTTTCAGCTAGTTTAACAATTTTAGCAAATAAGTTTATAATTAAAAGCATTATAAGCAGCCGGGTGTGGTGGCTCAGCCTGTAATCCCAGCACTTTGGGAGGCCGAGGCGAGAGGATTGCCTGAGCCAGGGGGTTCAAGACCAGCTTGGGCAACGTGGTGAGACCTCGTCTCTACAATTTATTGTAGAGTAGTAGCTGTAGTTCCAGCTACTTGGAAAGTTGAGGCAGAAGGATCGCCGGAGCCCAGCAGGTCGACGCTGGGTTGGCTATGAGTGTGCCACTGTACTCCAACCTGGGTGACAAGAGTGAGACTCCAACTAAAAAAAAAATTTTTTTTTATATATATATATGCCGAGAGCTTTAATATAGAAACATTTTCTATTGTTGTTAAAATGTCATCTACAGGTGGTGCAAGTATTTGGCAAAATAAAGTTTGTCGCATCAAATCTGAAATAAAACCCAAACTCTATAGTAAAATTTTAACTTCAAACTTAAAATTAAAATTTTAAGTTCAGACTTTAAAATTTTGAATTGCATGCATTGTAAAACCTTTCAGACTCTCATTTAGCATTATTTTAAAATGAATTCTAAGAAAATCTTGCTTTGTGAAGATTAGAATGAGCAGGTAGCATTTTAGTGCAATTTATTTATGTTCTTAGTTAATGCCCACATCACATCCATAAAATAGGCTACAGACTCCAGACCTTATAGACAGGGCCTGAAACTCAAAAGGGTTGAGGGAAAACAGAAACAGCAGAAATAACTCAAGCACAACTGAGACTTGTTTTGTTTTAAGAAAAATTCACTGTTTATCTACAACACTTGAAAATATAATTTATTGTAGTAAATCTTTAAGAACATGTCAAATTATTTTGGATATGTTGTATTTCAAAATATAAGGAAGTTTTTAATAACATTTTAGGAAATTCTGATTATAAACTGATTGCTTAAAACGTTAGACCTTTAGCTAGTCTACCAAATCTATATATGGTAAGGTAGGGTTTTTTGTTTTTTTTTAACTTAAATGAGTTTTATTTTACTTACTTATATTTTTAAGTAGTACATCAGCATGGTAAAAATTTTAAGTACCAAAGAAGGTATATACTAAAATGTATATTTCTTTCCATCTCTTCCCCCAGTCCCCTTTGATGGCTTACAACCATTGTAAGTTTATGTCTATTCTCCCAGCATCTCTATGTATGCAAAACCTACATACAAAATCTTTTTTTGTTTTGTCCTGTAACCACAGATTGGAACATAGTTCAACGTTCTTCACTTTGTTTCTACTTAATGATGTATCTGTATGTGTTCCCTATCAACACATAAATATTTACATAATTTTACTTATTGGCTATATACCATTCCATTCAGTATAATTTAACAGGTACCGTTGACAATGATACTTATGTTATTTCCAGGTTCATATTAGGTGGAGGGAGATGGGAGGTGTATGGTGACTTAAAATTTTCACAAATCCACTGTCTTGTTTGCTCCTCAAAATAGCATTGTAGACATAGGTAAAGCAGGTGTTACTCTTATTATTACATTTACTAGGAGGAAACAGAAGCTCACTTGAAGGTAGAAAAAAAGAGTCGGTAAGCATCAGAACCATGACATGAACCTGGGTGGTCTTAGGATTATTTAAAACTGAGCAAGCTATAACAGGTCAATATATTTATTTAACATTTATTGCCGTGTTGAGTTTGAAGGTATTTTTTAAAACATGCAAAAGCATGAATTATTAAGAAAGTTAATGTCTAAACAATAATGACAAAAGTAAAGTTAGCATATGTATAGGCATTAGTGTCATGGCATCTTGTATGAGTACTTCTGAGACTGCCTTAGAAGCAACGTCAGATAAAATGTGGGTTTATGGATAATTGGATAAGTGGTGCATGTTACTGTATGTTGTAAATTGAGGATGAAGTACAAACTTGGAGCACTGCTTCAGGTGCTGTAGGGTTAGTAGAATTGTGAGTAGTAGGATTGTTGCTAGTATTACTTTGTCAGCTTAATAGAACTCAAAAGAACAAAATGAATGTGTTCATGCTAAAAAAATGTTTTCTTCCCAGCTTGTGAAGCACTTACTGAGTGGGAATATTTGCCACCTGTTGGACCTCGTCCACCAAAAGGATTTGTGGGGCTGAAAAATGCCGGTGCTACTTGTTACATGAATTCTGTGATTCAGCAACTCTACATGATTCCCTCCATCAGGAACGGTATTCTTGCGATTGAAGGCACAGGTAGTGATGTAGATGATGACATGTCTGGGGATGAGAAGCAGGACAATGAGGTAAATTTTAGTCATCAGTTTTGTTTTCTGTGATTGAAGTTCTGCTACCATATACTGTTCTGTTAAGAGAGGATTGAACTTTGATCAGACCTGTTAAAGTGCATTTGAAAGTAGGAATGGAGTTACCTTGAAGTTTTGTAATGCTAGGACTCTTCATTTTTAGTAAGCTTCAATTTTTACTTTTCTAGTTTATATTTTTAATTATAGATCTCCATTAATTTATACCAAGTTATATAGTATTTACCAGCTTCATCTGTGTTTGCTTTTAGGTTATTCATATATTTCCCCTAGATCACAGCTCTTTATGCTTAGGAAACAAACTTCTCTCTACTTGAAGTAGTGTTACATGGTCTTGAGACAAAATTTAGGCTGCCTGCTGAGTATTCAATGCAGAATAAAGAAATTAAAAAGTTAGGTTATAGTGGCAAATCAGGAGTGACATGGCTCTTATAGCAAGACCTAAGTTGTGGTCATGTTTGAACCCACCCTATATTTCTTTGTTTTCATTTAACTTTTTTCTATTTATAGTGTTAGTGGGCACTAAAGAGAGAAGCCTGGGCATTTTTTTTTCTTTTTTTTGTTCTTTTTTTCTTTCAGTTGGAGTCTCATTCATCACCCAGACTAGAGTTCAGTGGCACGCTCACGGCCACTGCAGCCTTGATCTGCTGGGCTCAGGTGATCCTTCCATCTCAGCCTTCCAAGTAGCTGAAACTACAGATGCACGCCACCACGCCCAGCTAATTTTTTTGTGATTTATTATAGAAATGAGTTTTCACCAAGTTGCCCAGGCTGGTCTCTAACTCCCCGGCTCAGGCAGTTCTTTCTCCTTGGCCTCCCAAAGTGCTGGGATTATAGACTGAGCCACCACACTTGGCCATTTTTTCTTTTAAAGAGGCAGGATCTCGCTCTGTCATCCAGGCTATTGTGCAATGGAGTGATCATAGCTCACTGCAGCCTCAGACTCCTGGGCTTAAGCAGTCCTCCTGTCTCAGCCTCCCAAGTAGCTGGGACTACAAGTATATACCATGATACCTAGCTTTTTCTTTTTTTTTTTTTTTTGGCTACGTTGCCAAAGTTGATCTTAAACTCCTGGACTCAAGTGATCTTCCCACTTCAGCCTCCCAAAGTGCAGAGATTACAGACATGAGCCACCACCCCTGGCCCAGAGAATATTCCAAATGTAGTAAATGACTGGTTCTTTTCATTCTCTTCAGTTGCCAGAACTGGTTTTGCTTTGGAGACAATTGTGGGCCTTCTGAAACATTGTTTGAGGAATTGGATCTGAGCATTTTTATTTTTTTAAGACTTCATAGGGGATGTTTATACCTGTACCTGGTTAAGAATCACTGCTCTGAGGAAAAATTGGAATTTAAATTCTAGTTCTATAGCCCATCTCATCCCTAGGATATTGAGTTAAGCACAGGTAGATACAGCTAATTGTACTGGCAAAAAGTAAATCATACACACAAAATATAATTTCAAATATGGTGTCCCACCTGTGGTATTCTCTCCTCTGTGTTGTCTCTGCACCCCACTGCACTGTGGTAGGTTGAGTTTTATTTTGTTTGTTTTGCTTATGTTCTTATTTCCTTCCCAAGACTATAAGTTACTTATTGGTAGGGACTGAATATTGTTGATTTCTGTATCAGAGATCTTAGATACAGTTCACAGAATATAGAAAGATGTTCAGTTAACTGTAAAGGCAACTAATTCTGCTCTGTAACTGCAATATGATTATGACTTTTAGGGAATCTATTTTCATGTTACGTCTTCTCCCACTACTACTGTTTTTTTAATCGTGTTGAAATACACATAATATAAAATTTACCATCTTACCCTTTTTTTTCTTTTTTTGAGTTGGAGTCTCACTCCGTCACTCAGGCTGGAGTGCAGTAGCATGCTCATAGCCACTGCAGCCTCGACCTGCTGGGCTCAGGCGATCCTTCCGCCTCAGCCTTCCAAGCAGCTGGAACTACAGGCACGTGCTACCAC